CAAATGTGTATTGTGTCCATGTATTTCTCCGCGGTGCGTGGTGGGGGTATTATTTCTCCTCTGTCGCACAGCTAACCTCGGCTTCCCTCGGCTTCTTTCGGTTTCCCGACACACCGACACGTAACATTTCATTGTGTGCGAGGCGTGCTGGGCTCGAGGGAAGGGGTAGAAATGTTCCGCGATCTGACTTCACTGCTGTGGCGCCACCCTAATTGAATGAATTTCGGCGGACACTTTCATATACAGAGATGTTACTCCTTACCTCTACCCTCCATAATGATAACAAGGGTTCTTTGGAATTTAAGGTTAGAAAAGCGACATTACTTTCCGGTCCACCTAACATATATAAAAACATAAAAAAATAAAAAAATAAACTATAAATTGATTATTCATATTCCATCATTCAAATGTATATGTCATTTAACGATTAACATTAATAAAATTGAAATATTAAATCCATCATTTGTTTCTAACCTAAAAACTTGAAAAATAATCAAAATTTTTGTTGCAGTTTATCGATCCTGAATATTTCATTATTATTATTATTATTTTCTTCATCTTCTTCATCTTCTTTTTCTTCATTTTTTTTTTATTCTATTCCTTTCTTGTACCCCCTACTACCCTCTTGAAAACGTTAATTTTGGAATTTATCGATTAACCCATCTTTTCACGGCCTCCGACCAATCAGTTTCATTGTCATCTTCCTTTCCACCCTCTGCTTCTTCCCTGTCACCTCTTTCTTGTTCCTGTTCGTTCAACGAAGTTGCTGAAGTACGTTCAGTTTGTGATATATTAACATTCCTCGCTCTCAATTCAGCGAGAAAATCATTTTCTTGTTGATAACGACGTTGAAGTTCTTCGCGCCAAGAATTTCCACCGCCGCTGCTGTCATCGCCATCTTCACCGGCCTCGAAATCTGAAAACAATAATAAACATTTTAAACAATCATACATCTTTTATCAATAAAACAATTTAATTGACTTTCTGGGTTTTTATTTTTTGGTCTGAAGTATTGATTTTTTATTTGTAATCATTTGTATGTACGTTTGGAAATAAAAAAAGAAAGAAAATTAAAGAAAATAATATAAATAAATGTATTATAATGTTATTTAATAATTACGAATGAGAATTAACAAAAGTGACGTTGTTGAACACGAAAAATTAAAATTATCAGTCTTGTAGATGACTGTACAAACTACAACTCTGTACAAACACGTTTAATTGTAAATATAAAATGAGGATACTTTTGTTTTTGAAGTTTTTACAAAAAGTTTTTTCAATATTTTATTTTTATAATATTTTGTAATATTGAGTTGCTCGTAATGATAGTTTTGTCAAATTATAAATTCTATATTCTGTATTGA